GCAGGCATCACGGACATTTGCCAGGTCAACGTTGGCAGTAGTCTTTGCTTCTTTGGCGGGAGATGGCGGCGGAGACGTTGGTGGCGATGGTGATGGACTTCCTGCACGACCAGAACTGTAGCACACAGCTGCCTTCCGCAAAGTCTCCCTGCACAGCTCGGAGAACATGCTGCCTCCCCCATGGCCGTGGCCCTTGCGGACCACCCCCCTCCTTCCTGTCCCTTTAACCTGTCGCCCCCCCTCCTCCTCCTCCTTTCACCAAGCTCGAACGCCGATCGCTTCGAACTTGGACCCGCTTCTGTTTTCACCCCTCGATTCCTCGGTTATCGTTCGCTTCTCTCACCAATCCCGGCCACGTGCCTCCGACATCCTCGTCGTCTCTGCACGCAGGGAACACGTAGCTCGCGGTCCCACCGTCGCGAATATCGTTCGACGCTACATCGTCACTCGTCTCTACAGCTTTACGGGAGGGGGGCAGGTTATAACGGGTTGCAACGAAACAAATGTTGGAACGAACGAATAAATGGTAATCCCTACGTCCTCATCATCCTGGCAGCCTCGTTTTCCTCTTTCTTTCCCAATTCCTAAACGATATATCGCCTCAACTTCACCTACTTCTCCTACCTCCCTAAAATCGGAGGAAGAACGTTATCCGCTGGAGTGGTTCGAAATAATTAAGCCCAGCGGTTGTTCCCAGGTTGAAGGGAGACAGCGAAGGAAGAACGCGCACGAAGATGGTCTTGGATAAAACGTCTACTTTACACGTAGACGTTCCGCCTGATTTGCACGCTCGCGAGCGTGCCACGAATCTCCTTCTTAGCCGCTCGTGCCCAGCGCACGTAAGCTCCGTATAAACGCCTTTTACCAGAGAATCCCCTGTAAGAAGGGTGTATGTATATACGAGAGAGGGATAGAGAGAGAGAGATGGAGAAGTTTCGAGTCGTTTCCATAAAGCACTGGACGAGCGTGCGCGAAGAGGGAAACGACACGTCCGGGAAATGGCGTTAGTTAGCGGCGGCCAAGACTAGGAAACGTTCGGTGAGGCGTAGGCCGTAATAAAAATGTCTGGCCAGTTGCCAGCCGTTGGGAAATTTACTGGCCGCCCTCGGCCACGACAGCCTCGACAACCTCGGCAGTTGTCGTGGAACCCGGAACAAAGCATGCGGGGGCTGCACCAGAGTGCATCGACTCGTTTGCATTGCGGTTCAGTCTAACGCTGTTAACTCTGATGCCATTCGCGAGAATATCTAGATGACGGGGACACGATCATTCCTTTCTCTCTCTCTCTCTCTCTTCATCCCTCGAACATCCACGAAGTTCCTTCCGTTGGACGCTTGCTTTGGTGTTTGGCACTTGGAAGAAAGAGGTGCTGATTGTTGCAAAAGAAATGCGATCGAACCTAAAGTTGAGATTAAATATATCGAGAAGGACGTTCAATTTAACTATTTAATTATTTTAAAAATTTTACTTCCGGATCCTAGCTCCCTTTCACACAGTTTATCGCGCAATTGGGCTAAAAAATCCATACTACTTTAAAATGCACCGAGAAAGATATCGATAGAGAGGATAAAAATAAGGAAAGATGACATTTCGAAGTGGAAGGAGAGATTCGAAAGAATTATGCGCCGATGGGAATGTATATATATATATATATATACATATAGATCGTAGAATAAAATCGCGGACGATACACGGACAGCGTCGCATTACGGGCATCGAAGCGTTATCCAATGCCCGATAACTGTCCGCTTGCCGAATGCAGCCGCGATGATGCCCGTTGCCTCTGTCGCAGCCCCATTTGCCCCATTCGAAATTCTCGAGACAATTGTCGGTTTAATCCCTGCTCTGCCGATTCCATCGGACAATGCACGCGCCTCCGATCCTCGTTTTCGACTCGTGCTGCTCTCTGCGCATATACCGCCCCAATAACGATCGTTCAAGGGTATTTGGAAAACTCTGTCGCGTGGAAAACCTCTGTTCGTTCGCGCGACCAATCGGGTTTCGATTAATTATGATTCGCGCCGAAAAAATGTCGCTTATATTCCATTGAACGGGGGCCGAATTGCGGCAAATCCGATCATCGGATTGCGGCGTTAACGTGTAACCATCACGCGATCCAGAAATCGTTCGAATTCTGATATTATGCGTTCGTTCGGTGACCTTCTTCGCCAATTGAAGAGATCGTGGATTTTGGTGGGTCGTGGCTCACGTCCACGACCCGTAGTTACCGTTGCCAACCGCGCCGATTAGATAGATGGACGAAGAAAGAGGGCGTCGAGAATTGTCGAGCAATTGTCGAATTGCGACCGATTAGAGAAAACGATCGTTTTCTCGATATCTGCTTTTTTCCCGGATGTCGTCGTCGAATAGACGAATTCGGGATGAATCGAAACGTGGAGCGAAAGCGTTCACACCGAGGGAATGCGAAATCGATACAGAGTGGAAGAAGCGTGAAAAGCGTGGGGATCGGTGGAGGATAGCTAATTCACGTGTTCGCGGCTAAAAACAGGCTCATCGACGGCCAGCCGGCCTTGCCAGCTGGCGAACGAATCATCGAGCTTCCGTCAGCCTT